AGTAAACTGTGATTCTCAGAGTGCTATTGCTTTAGCTAAGAATTCAGTTCATCATGAGAGGACCAAGCATATAGACATCAGGTTACATTTCATTAGAGATATCATCAGTGAGGGTTTGGTGAAGGTTGTGAAGATTGCAAGTGAATGTAACCCTGCTGATATCTTTACTAAAGTTTTACCTGTGGACAAGTTCGAAGGAGCACTAGAAATGCTCCGGGTAACTCAAGACTGAGCGGTCAAGCTCAGGTACCGGAGGGGAATCCAAGAACTAGAAGAGTGAAGGCTTATGAAGATTATCAGAGTCAAGGTGGAGAATTGAAGTAATTGACTATGATATTCTTCAGGTGGAGTCTAAGTGTGGTGAAGACTCTCAGGTCAAGAGAGGGTTTCAAAGTTTCAGATGCAGGAAGAAGACACGTGAGTTTCACGTGATGCCGTTGATGGTTCTAACAAACCAAGGAGGGGCATAATCGTCTTTTCGCTTCAGCTCTTATATTAAGTCATCTTCTTCTCTTCCTCTGAATCGATTCATTTTTACGAGTTTGTTAGATTTGGATTGAGGAGAGAGAGAGAGAGTTGAATCTGAGAGTGAGAAAGCTTAGAGAGAGAAAGCATCTGAGAGATTGTAACGATTACTTTGTTCACCAAGTTCTAGTGGATTCCGGAGGAGTTTCTCCGGCGAGACGTAGGAATCCGGTTTGGATTCTGAACTCGTTAATTGCTCGTGTTCTTTCGTTTCTGTTCTTGTTCTCGATTCGTATTAGATTCATCAGAGATCATCTTCGTTCAGCATTTGCTCAAGTCTAAAGATAGAGAAGAATCTCTACAGGTTTCAATGTGGATATGGTTTATATGAAAATTGTTTGAAATCTTTTGTCTCTAAGTGTCAACGGTGGAGATTAGGCTTAGTCACTGGCATCAAAGGTTTTTTTGGACTTGTATTGGATTGTATTTTTAAGTTTGATTCTTGAGATTTTTGGCATCTTTGTATTTAAATTTTCTTTTGTTCATATCGAACCACTGATTATGACAGAACATTATGTATATATCTATTACAATGATTTTTCTTCCTGGTCGAGTACAGTCACATAATTTTATCAGACAAATCATATAATTATACAAAGGATTAAGTACAAAACAAACCAATCATATAGTTAAACTTTTGCCAGAGTTGGCTACAAATGTTCCATAGCAAGATTTGAAAATAAAACATTTCCAAAGTGGAGCCTATGAGGTTGACGTGTGTTCTTTCACGTGCCGCCATGTTCACATGTATCATCTAATACGTACATTTATACGTATGAACGTATGTCGTATGCCGTATGCCGTATGGGTAGTGTGTGTGTACGTAGTATATATATATATATATATATATATATATGTATACAGGCATCTGTCTACACATTTATACCATTAAACATCACATCTATAGTTTTTGTTTCATACAGGTGTTTTGCTGCACTGTCTAAGTTATGTAATTAAGATATAAACAACAAAAACAATAATAGTGGTTTTACATATTTTTTACTCGATGATCAAACCAGTACAACCACGCTCCAGAAAAAAAAAATTGAGTTGTAATTAACTATCACTGATTTAGCTATTGATCAATTTACATAAATCGAAATATTTTTTTTTTTGTACTACGATTAATCGGAATATTCTAAAGAAGTTTTTATAGACAACTGTAAATAATATTCACAAATCTCAAAGTTTTTGGGAAAATTCTGTCTAGTTTTCTGGTTTTCTAAAATATTAATAGATCTCATTTTTTTTTTTTTTTTTAATTCATAGATATCTATTTTTATCCATGGAAGCTTCCACTACTTCATTTTATGATTATTAAGCGTAAGCTAAAGTAAACCATTGTAACTTTTAAGCAGTTGTTGTGACTTTTGAACATCCGATTACTCATAGAGTGATTCAAAATAAATAAGAGTTTCCGACGAGAAAAATGTCGTTAACTCACCACTAATAAAGTCTTATATGGTCAGTGGTCCAATGAGACTTTTTAGCTCATATATGTACATTATAACGTGAATTCAAAATTATTCATGGTAGTTTAGGATTTTTGGTTACTACCCTTTCTGCTATAGTTGTGCTTCAGTTTGATTTACAACTTCAAATCTTGAAATTATTACAGAAACGGCAAATACGTAGTTAGTTAAGTAACCTATCTTGATGTTTAGGTTGCTTGGAACCGAACCAAATACACACACACACACATAGACATAGGTGTGTAAGTAGTAACAAAGGTGTAGGTATATTTCCTTCCTAAAAGCAAAGTGTGGAAAAAGGTAAGTCCTGAAATAAAAACAAAAACCTTTCGGCGATACATCGCGTGACGTGATGATGCCTTGAATTTTTCTAGTTCAGACGACAACTACACCATAAAGGATATGTAGTAGTTTTTTTTTCTTTTTCTCTTGCAAGTTTTTATTTTTAAGTTTCAAATACTTGTCTCTGTATATTTTCACTTTTTACATTTTGAAAATAGAAAGGATCGAAATGACGAAGTAATAATCACACACACTTGTATCAAAAGAAAAAAATCCATGCTTTTTAATTTTTATTGTGCCATAATTTACGGACTCAAAAGTCACTTGTACTAATTATCACCATTACACTTATTTTTATCGTTAGCTTAAAGTAAAAATATCTTATTCTGGTAGATTAAAAAATAAAATAACGAGGTTGAAATATTCAACTTTGTGGCGCCGTAAAGATTTGAATTATTAACCCACAACTTTCAAACCTAACACAATTTGAGTCATATTTAAATCTATTTTCCCCAAGCCTTTACACAATACTGTATATTAGTGGTTAGTGAACAAATTATATGATTTCACAGCTTATAGAACTCAAACAAGCTTCTGGAAAAAAAAAAAATCAGATTGATGATAGGTACAGAAGAAATCATTCCCAAAATAATAAGAATGAGAGAAACAAAAGATAGAATTCACACAATCAACAAAAAGAAATTGAAATTCTTGGACAAAAAAAATTTCAACCAAAAATAAAAATTAAAATAGAGTAGAGTCAAGAGAGACAGATAGAGATGCTAATACTAAACAACCACTGTGGATTTTTTCTGGTCTAATAACGTTCTAAGATTTGTACCTGATGATGAACAAGAAGAAGGTGAAAACGACACCGTTTCATCAGTTTCTTGAATAATAATAGTACTCTGTTTCTTCTCTCTGTTCATCGCAGGAGGGTTCATGAACTTCAAAAACGAACCTTCTGTTGCTGTCGAGAGGTCCGATTTTGGAGAAACTGAAGCTAACCCTTCTCTTCTTTTGGCCTCTTCTATCAATCTCTTCCTCAGCTTCTCTTCAGCATCTCTCATGAACTTGAATTTTGGTGGAGGTGAAGAAGACGACGACCTGAAGAACTTGTTGAACTCAAGCTCACCGTCTGATTCAAACAGAGGGTTGAATCCATGGTGTGGGTAAGATTCCAAAGGAGATGAAGGCTTTAGCGTAGTAGGAGAAGCCAATGGAGTGAATCCAGGGGTACTACAGTCATTAGGAACATCACTCAAGCTCCTTCGTCTCGATCTTGAACCTAGTCTTGATCTCCCATCTTCAGATTCCAAATCTGCTTTTGTCTCTTCCATGATTGTGAAGAGAAACCTCTGGTTGTGAAGCTTCATGAGCTCTGCTTCAAACCCTAGATCTCCTCCGTTCAAATGTTTCATCAAACCGAGCTCCAAATCCGGATTCCCATCTTGGTTCCTCGAGATTTCACCTTCTCTTTCTCCATTGCTGTGCTGTAAAGACTGAGGCTTTTTGAAGCAGAAGAGCTGGATAAGTTCTTTGGCGTATCCGTTATGTTGTTCTTCCTCTTTCTCCTCTTCACTTTCTTGGCTTATGACTCGCTTCTTGTGCTTCTTCCATCTCAGAAGGTAGTAGACTTCTGCAACAAGTGCTAATAGAAGAAACCCAAAAACCAAACTCAACCCAATACCTAATCCACTAATTGTCTTCATCTTGCTTCACCCCAAATTCTCACATCACCATGAAAGAAAGAACAAAAACCCTAAATTCTGGCCAGGGATTTTTGTGGATTTTACAGAGGAATGGAGTAAGACTTGGTGGTTACCATATTTAAAGATTGAGAAAAAATGTAAATGTGTCAATGATTTGGAAATAAGATATTTTTTTTAGCAAGCAATTGAAATTGTTAGAGGAGCAAAATAAGGAAACTTGCCTTGATGGTGAGCAGAAATTAAAATTGAAAGAGAAAGATAGATTTTTCTTTTTTTTTTTCCTTTTTTTTTTCTTGCTTTAAAGAGAGAAGAAGAAGTTGTCTTTCACAGCAATATTTAGGTTCACAAGTTTGGTTCTTTGTAATACATACTTGGCACAAAAGGTCCAAAGTTTTGGTGCCTCTAACTCAACATTTTTGAAAAATAATAAAGGAGAAAAATTAGGATACACTTTTTAAAGATGAATAAACTTATGATTTACCCAAACCCATTATTTTGAAATATTTCTTTAAGTAAAAGTAGTTGTTTGTATAATGTTAAAAATGACTTAAGGTTGTTTATAATCTTTTAATAAGTGGCTGATACTTTTTTGTTGTGTGTGTGCAACAACTAGGCTGATACTAAATCATAATATTTTGCTTAGTCTCAGTTTTTATTTGGATACAGTTTCCAAACTAGATGTCAATCCTACCTAGAAACTGAGCTCAGTTCATTTGATATTTTTTTTCTTTTTCTTGTATAACATTATTACTATTAGGGTTGTTTTCGTCAGCATTAATAGGGTTTAATCTTAATAAAACGTATTCTTGTCAACAAACAAAGGTATCTGTTCTTTTTCAGTTTCATCTCATATCTAATCTAAAGTTTAGTGTGTTACTGACTTTTTTTTTTTACCTCAGTGTGTTACTGACTAATTTTTCTTATTGAATCTATTGTCATATAATAGAAATGATTTTTTTTTTCAGGTCACAATAATTTTACATGTTTCATTTTATATTTGCCAAAAAAAAAGGAAAATTATATCACGTATTAATGTATAAATTATTGCCAAATACTGATAAATTTTATATTAATAAAATATTGGTATATTATGAATAGACAAGAATTGAACGGTCCACGTTATAACTATTTCTGTCTTTTTGTTCAACTCCAAAAATATTTGTTTTTATAATAAAAAGCAGTACTATTTAAAAAATAGTATTGGTAATAATTTAAAAGAATTTCTGTTTTTTGTCTCCCGTCGAAATAAACATAACAAACGACAGCTCCATATATATGTAATATGCTATACTTGCATCATATAATCCTGTGCTATTTTATTTTAATTTTTTGACATTCTAATAATGTGTTATTTGATAAGTATTATTTGTATCTAATAATTTTTTGTTTCCGTTTAACTGAGCACAAATATTTAACTCATCCTAAAACTTTTATCCAAGTATCATCATATATATATATATGTATAGCTTTTGAACCTTTGTTCAAATAACTACTTTTTCTTTATTAGAATTTAGAAGCAATGAATCGATCAATCGAATATATACGCTAAAAAAAATATGATAATTTTTTCACTTTATTTTTATTTTCGAGATTGTGAAACAGTGAATAAAAAAAACAGGCATAGACATGAACCGAAGATACTCTTTTAACTTTTTTGTCGATAAAAACCAAGATTCTCCTCCGCGTGTCTTCCTCAACAATATATGGCTTACAATACTACTCTACTCTATTTAAATTATTTCAATACAGACCCAAAAAAGAAAGAATATGAATAAATATTAACATATAACCATATTATCGTATATGTGTGACATTTGGAAATTTTAACGCATGGAATATTTTTAATTTGAAACAAAGCATAGTACTGTAACTTGATTATCTTACACGTTGTTTGAAGAAGTATATACAGAAATAAGAAATATTATATATATATATATATAAAAAAAAGAAGGGGTTTGTGAGGAATAATAATGGAAGAAGCCACGAGGGGGAAAACTCTGAAGAGAAAATGTATGTATGATGATTGGATAAGATAAATAAAAATAGACAGAAGTCACAAAGAACATAACCAACAAACTAATATTATAATATAAGAGACGACAACCGTCGCCCACAAACTCATTATCGCTGTTTGTTTTCCCCCTCTCTTTTTTTGCTTCCGTTTCCTATTATTTATCGGTGATTTTTTTATTATTATCATCTTGTATATTCTAGGCATAATATTTGTTTATTTTTTACTAGTTTCACTCTTTTTCAGTTTTTAGTAGAATATTAGTATAATTAATAATCATTCTTTACCATTTGTTTGTTGTTTCCTTTCAGTGTCTCGTAATGCAAAATTGTATTTTCATATTGTTTTTGATTTATAATATTTTACTCATACTTTTAATAAGAAATGTTTAAATATACGTTTTTTTTCTTACTAAATACTGTAGAAGTTGCGAGGAGAAAAAATAACTACTACAATAGATGATGGACCGATCATGGGATTGAAGTATGCAAGAAAAAAAGAAAAGAAAAGAGGTACAGTATGTCCAAAGACTTAACTTCTCGAGGCCTTTCTTCTAACTTTTCATTTGGGCCTTACAACAAACCATAGCCCATCATCATCTTCAGTCTATTAACCAGGGAGCTTCAAACGAACCCAAGACTCCCATCATTTGTGTGTTACTTTCTACTAAAAAATATACTACATAGTAGATAGAGGCAAAATACTAAAGCATTAACCCCTAATTTATCTCATGCTAACTTTTATAGAGCTTCGATTTCTCTTTTTACACACATGACACATGCAACCTGAAAACCTCAAGAATGAAAATGTTCTACTAACCAAGTTCTAATAGATCAATTGGTAAAGACTTTTGGCAAAAGTTTAAATGTCGCCGGTTCGAGTAGCGTTTGGGACAAAACCATATAAAATGTTTTGGTTTCGAGTCTGAGAAGATGTATGGCCTTCGGTCCTTAATCTACCTGATTATTCAAAAAAAAAATGTTCTACTAATTGATCCATAAGATATGCATTTTCCTCTTAATCGATTTTTTTTTTTTTAACATTTTGATTCCAATGTTAGGGACTCGAAATCTCAAATCATTGCCAATCAAAATAAGTAACTTAGTGATGATTTCTGCCATGTTGTTGTTAGTGCTTCTAGTCAAATTTTAAACTTATATTTCTTCTTTTCCTTATAGATTGATGCTTTTAGACTTTTTAGCACATAATAAATATAATAAAGCTTGAGTTACGAATTGATTTATATTCTCTTTTCGAATGGATAGAGAAAAATATAAACCACTACTTACTCTGACATGTGACCCAAAATAAAAATAAAAATTAAATCAGTTTTTAATTATTTTTTTGTTGTTGTCAACATTGATTTTTTAATTTATAAAATCAGTTTCTTATAAACAAATTTAAAATTCAAAACATCAATCTAGCATAAGCAAATGAAATATAATGTATTGCATATACTGTATTACTATGTTGTCAGTTTGTCACAATAAAATCCAAGACAATTACTATGGTTCTCGAATCAAAAAAAGAAGCTGAGTCTTCCTTTTTAAGATATTCATACTTTGCTTGTAAGTTTTAAGACCATATAACAAAAAGTACTTGTTAGCTTTCGGACCTCCTAGATCCTAGGAACGGCTCCACCTCTTCTAAAAATCTCATTGCACCTTTTCGGAGCTATTTGGTTTTTTTGAATTTTTTTTCTTATTCATACTTAGAGAGTTTGGATAATACCTTTGGAAGATAATGGAACAAACAAGGGCCACGAACGTGCAAACGGGTATACAGACAGTACATCGGCTGAATCCTTAAAAATAGCAAGCATACCACACAAAGAAAGCAACATGTGCAGTACGTACAAAAGAGTACCTACGTACGTGTATAAATGTTAGAATGTGAAGTTATACGTACGTGTAAGAGTTTGGCTACATGCATGTGTCTGCTACTGCCGATGACACCTCCCGCACAAAGGAGACAAATTTGCCTTTTTACGGCAGTTATACATATATACCTATGTATTCCTATGTAATGTATTCCTATGTAATGTATTCCTATGTAATGTATTCCTATGTAATACTATACATATTATATTTTCATTTATATGGTCCGGCTACAAAATTATTAATTCGCTAAAAGGAAAAACTAATTCCTAACAAAACATATTAGATGAAGTCATGAAACACATAGACCAAATATAACTAATGTTTTGAGATTGTTTGGATTAATAAAACTACTACAAAAAAAAAAAAAAAAAAAAATTGGCATACTGTTTTCAGGTTCACTACAAAAATTATTAATGTCTCTTGTACCACACTTAAGAAGAATATATTAACTGATTATGAGAAGTTTTATAGTACTACTATCGATTTGATTAATTTGTCATGAAACGATAAATTTAATAGAAGAAACTCAAAACAAATAATTAATATAGGTATCTGGATTTAAAGCAATATACTCCACATAGATAAGTACTCATTTTTATGGGGGTACTTCTAGAAACTTAAAAATAATAATAACTAGTATATTCTCTCATGTAATATATTTTTGGGGATTTTTACGAAAAATATAATTTTCTAAGATAAAGTTTACAAATATGCCATTTTTACTAAAATGTAAAACCTGAAAATAGCAAATTCATAAGATTTTGGTAGAAATAGTAAATCCATAAATACCATCAATAAAAATGGCAAATCTATAACTGATTCAATTTTTTTTATTTTTGTTGCTAGAATTTTTCAAATTTATTTTCAGTTTTAGACCAAGAAATTTTAAAGTAAAATTAAATTGCCATCGTGATTATCATTCTTATGAAGAGAACATGAAAAAAAATATATGAAGAAGGAATCAAGTGGCTTAAATTTCAATAAAACATGGAAATCAATGAAGAGATTGGAGAGTGTCATATGTCTTCACTCTTTCTCGAGGCAAATCTCTGCTCCTATAGATTCGTAGGTGCCTAAGCCTAAGAGACTCAAATTGAAGCCATGCATGTCTTTTGCTTTCACAATTTGTCATTCCCCATACCTACTTCTCACAAATTCCTACATTATACTGTACTAGTATATATGTATGGGAAGATACTTACGATTTGCATATTGCACATTTATATATATCTAAAGTTCGTGGCGCAACACGATGAATTTTTAACTAATTGATTTGATAGTCGTACAATGGCATCCTTCTGTTAGTTCAGAAATCAGAACTGTGTAAACTTCAATACTATAATTCTGACTTTACATATATTTTGACTAGTCTAGATTTCAGTTTGTAAGCTAATTTTGTAAAACATGTAACTACTATAGCTACTATTGTATTTCTATTTAAACTATGTGATCGTAAAATCTAAACAATTAATCATGCTCTCCAGAAGTTTTAAATATAGTCCAAATAAACGTTTGTTGTGTATACGGTGATCTGTCGCTCGACTTAATTATGGGAATGTGTGATATATATCTCGTACGGATATCAATAACATTAATCTATCTGAAAGGAAAATGACAAGTTCATCATATCTGAAGTCGACTTCACACCAAAAAAAAAATATCTGAAGTCGACCATATATTTCCTCTTCGCCTAGGAAAATTATAAGATCGACATTGGATATATGAATTGAGACCACGAAGCAAAACAACTAAGCCACTAGAGTTTTCTATTTTGACGGTTTACTAAATATAATCAAGTCTTTGTTTCCTTGCTCCTAATTTTTGAGAAAAAAAAAAAAAAACTCTGATCGTTAAGAAAATCGAAGAGCCAAGCGACTGAACTTCGTATTGTCGTGTTATACAAATATAAATAGTATAAAGAGAAAATATGATGATAGTATATAATATAAGATTTGTCAATTTCCCAAAGCAAAACTAGATACATAGGCTTCTCATGACCTACAAAGAACACAATCCAACCAGCTATCTTTTGCCGCCCTCGTATTTATCCGTTACGTACTCTCTTTCATTTCCAAAACTTTTTTATGGCTCTTCTTCATTTAAACCACTTTCAAAAAAACATTCGTAATTCCCAGATAGATTACAAAATTTAAACACCACAATCGTACAAAAAAAACATATTCCATTATATTTTTGCGTAGGAAAAAATATATTTATGTATAATTATTGACAATTTGCATTGACGATATTTTGTTGATAGCCTCAGATTATAATAAACTGATGCATGTCTTTACAAATAAAAACCAGAATAGATCCAAATTGTAATATATTTTTTTCTATTTGTCTTCTCATAAAAAAAAAAGTAGCCTCTTTTTTACCATATCAGCCGCTCCACGCGATGTTTTCAGAGTCCCCCAGCACAAAAAACAACACGCATGTTACTATCTCTCTCTCTTCATTTGACTCTGTGTTCCACTCCCTCACTAAAGCGCTCTATAAATATAAGAGCCTTCCCATGAATTTCATGCATCATTCATACCCCAAAACCCACACGCATAAATCCTCTTTTGAACCCTAGTTCTCTCATCATCCAAAAGATAACATAAAACTTTGAGCCACACACACATGGAAAACGAAGGAAACACAGGAACTGGAAGTAGTTCAAGATGGAACCCAACGAAAGATCAGATCACGTTGCTAGAGAATCTTTACAAGCAAGGGATACGAACTCCGAGCGCCGATCAGATACAGCAGATCACCGGCAGGCTCCGTGCGTACGGCCATATCGAAGGTAAAAACGTCTTTTATTGGTTCCAGAACCATAAGGCCAGACAACGCCAAAAGCAGAAACAGGAGCGCATCGCATACTTCAACCGTCTACTCCACAAGACCTCCCGTTTCTTTCACCCTCCTCCTTGCTCAAACGGCACGTAGTTCTCATCCTTGTTCTTTCTTTACGTAAACTTCTATATACGTTCTACCATATATATATCATACGTTCTTATTTTGTGGACTGCGTTTATTTCATCTATTAAATTAAGTTCTAATGATGATCAATAATCAAGACTCGCATGTTTATGTATTTCTTCTCTTTATTGAGAATTGCTAAATGTTTCTATTCTTTTTTTTGGTTTTGAAGTGGGTTGTGTTAGTCCCTACTATATACAGCAAGTAGGTGATCATCATAATCATATCAACCAACATGGAAGTGTGTACACAAACAATCTTCTTCACAGAAACAATGCGGTGATTCCGAGTGGTGGCTACGAGAAACGGAGTATCACAGATCATAATAAGAAAAAACAACTCTCAGACATAACAACAAGAACAACAACAACTCGGATGTCCATGTCTTCAAGATTTGACAGATTTGCCCTTCGTGATCACGGTGAGGGCATTAACGTCAATTCTAATGGACGTGAGACGCTACCTCTGTTCCCACTTCAGCCTTTAGATGGGACTATCGGCGATGGTGCGGAGAATTCCAGTTTTGCCACTGGGAGTGATCCTCCAGTGGTTTGTTTGGGCGATGACGGTGGACAAGAGCAGCCGTTTATGATCGATTTTTTCTCTGGTGGTGGTTCTTCTTCTAGTCGTTTCGATAATAATGGAAATGCGTTGTAACGAGTACTGTTCAATTTAGATATATGTTTTTTTTTTTTTTTTGTATTTTTGATAAAAAGTTTTTTTTTAGTGAGTCATTTATTTTAGCTGCTCTTTTTATCTTTTATAATGGAATCAAACGGAACGAGATGAAACTTTTGATCGAAAGGAATTGATGACGAACATTTGCAACAGAAGGAAATGTTGATAATAAGGAAATAGAATTTCTCGTCGATAATAAATTTGCTTCATTATGGATATCTTTGAAAATATATATTTTGAAGTTTTCCAGATGGAGTAATGTTTTCTATTTGTAGGGAAAATAAATAAAACATACAATAATTGTGAAGTACAAAATTTATTTACAAGTATTGATGATGAGTCAAAGTGTTAAATTAAGTTAATGTCTGCGTCGTTATACTATTTTTGAAATGATAGTTTTCACTTTCTTCACCTTTTATTCTTACCACTCCACACTTTTAAACTTCATAGTTTATAAAATATATATGATTATCGGAACGAAGGTTTTGGAAAAATATAAAAAAACAAAGAGGATTATACGATCATCATTCTTTTATTTTTTTTTCATATCTTAAACATATTAAGAGTACGAAGGATTACAAAGCCACAAGAAAAAAGGCACGGTGAGATCAGCGTCCATATATAGACGTCTTTTATTTTACTTATGCTAAACCATAATCTTCAATTCTTCATACAAGTGCTGATAGATGTACATCACTTGACGCTGCAACAATACAAACGATAACAAGAGTATATAGTTAAAAGTTAAAACAATATTAAAGTAATATTATGGTGTTTAATTAGATCGAGTACTTAACCAAGTTAAAAAGAAAAATATAGGATACGGGCTAACAAACTTACTTATCGCAGTTAGTGCTCATGGAGATGGGGTAGGGAATGCTAACACCGCACTTTCCAGGAAGGCCAGAGGCTAGACTCGGGTCGAGACCAGACATGCCCTTTGCAGTTGACTGTAGGCATCGGCATGCTTGTTGGCGGTCTGGTGTAGTTTGAGCCATACTGATCAAACTTTTCACTCCTCCGCAACATGGAACTGGTACCTCTCCACCTTTTGATAGGTAGTTGGCACATGGAGCCAAGCTAGTTGCCACAGTGCCACACGAGATTGCTGCATCGGCTGATGCAACTATGCAGACCGTCAAAACGAGGCATGTTAAGAACCTGAGAGCCAAAGCCATTGTGTTTGCTCTTTTTTTTTTTTGGTGATAACAAAATTGCAAGTTTCGTTGAGTTTTGTTTCCTAAGCTTGTTGATGTGAGAAAAGTGGGAGGTGATGATGGTTTATATAAGGGGAAACGGTGACTAAGTAGGGTTTGTTAGTAGTTGGATTTGTATTTACTTCATTCCTTTCTTCTACTAATTAAGGAGGAAATGTGTAATATTTAGTATATATCACATTGTTTAGTAGTATGTAAATATGTAATATGCATGGTAGAGTGTACTATAAACATATCAATATACGTACGTATCTAGTGTTATATATAAGGGATTTTAATAACTTTTTTTGCAAATTGTTTATATCATGCTTTTGAGCGATTTAGGATTAAGCTTTGCTATTTTGAATAATTTTTTTGTCGTCTACCTTTTATTTTTCGTTTACTAACCTCTCTTTGTTATTTTAAGATGTACATGTTTTGATTTAAAGTAAGGTCTTCATTGTACAATATATTCATCGAAAAAGTTAACAGTTAAAACGTCGGAGATGGTCGTCCGTAATTTGGCTAAAACATCAGTTACCGTCCATTTAATGCAATGTTAAACAGAGGGACACGTAACGTAATTCCAAATTAATATCAAACCACAACTCTCCCAACTACTTTTACAAGTCATATTCCCTAATTCCATTGGAACACTTTTTAATTTCTATTAATGCACATGTCCACGTTTTCCTTTTCAGTACTATTGTTGGCTATATTTATTAATCATCTATCAATTGTGTTATGTTTGAAGGATAAATACGATTTTTTTTTTTTTTTTTGGCGAAAGAAACAGAGGTAATTGTAAAGAATACACTTTTGCAAAATTGTAAAGAATGCACTTAAAGGATTGAATCAAATCGTCAAGAAAGATGAGTAGACCATTTTCAGAACAAAGATGTATGATAAAAAGAAATTGGTTACATTTATCGTAAAGTTTGGTAGGCAAACATGTCAAGAATGGAACACATATTTATGGATAGAGTCCAATGCTTTTGCAATAGATATGTCGACATTGAATTGGTGACACACTTGGGAGCTTAATGTGTAAACCATAGGAGGAGACCAAATCTGCTCATACTTTGATAAATTCTATCTGATTGAGAGTGTTAGATACGGTGAATTGGTCTTAGGTCGATGAACGAGGTTCTTGATGGCTTTTGTGTATTGTATAGGAAGAAGTTTTTCGCAATATTACAATACATTGTATATATATATATATATAATATTTACATGTTACTTAATTATGTTGGTCATAGTAATTTTTTAATTTTTTATTTGTTAAATATTTACATCTCAACTATGGCAGAATATATATATATATATATATATATATATATATATATATATG